TGAATTATTCGACATTTACTTATAACATTTCGGTTTCTTGGACATTTTTGTCCTTTGAACAGACATCCTTAACTTTTTTGTTTCAAAAGATAAAGATATGCGGATTTCGGTAAAGAGATTAGGAATATCTTCGTTATAAAATTGGGCTCTACATTTGTGTAACAATTCTTTGTTAATATTTAATTTTTGTGAAAAGAAATTGATACAAGAAGAAAAAACGGTATTTTTGTTGTATATTTATCTAGTAAAAAAAAGTCGGTAATTTCTTCATAAAAGTTCCAACGAATAATCTTCATACAGTATCAAGCAAAATGTCATGTCTAAAATGAGGGGGCCATAACTGATAACACTTTTTCCTTCAAAAAATGAAAAAATAATTATTTGGATAAGAAAATAACCCAGATATTTAGATATATTAGAATAAAAATATTTTTTTAATTTTTTAAAAATCATTTAATATTCATCGGTTTATGATTAAATGAAAAATATAGAAAATTGTTAAGTTGTTTTTAAGGAAAGAAAATAATGTTTGTCCCGAGAAAAAAGCCCCCCCCCCCTATAAATGATCATTAATTTACCTAAGTGGGGGCTTAAATTTGGAGACCGATCGCGAGGCCTGACTGCCATAAACAACAGATAACGAACAGCAAACAGTGGATACACCAATTGATATGTATGAAAGACAACGGCGGACACAAAATGATTGCACTGAATAATTTCAACTACCATTGAGATCGTTTTTTTTCAAATCTCCTTATCAAATTAGAAATGCATTTTAAAAAACCTTGGGATATCTTTTACAGTTTGGAATTGGAATTGGAATTAAAAATTACATTTCCCAAAGAGTTTCAGGTAAAACCCCGAGAATCTCACCTCCTAGAAATTTGAAGTGCCAGGATGTTTGAAAATATGTATGAATTTTATTACATACTTGAAATTGTATAAGGAATATAAAAAGATTCAGTATGTTTACTGTACAAACAAACAACAGACACCAAGTGATGGATATAATTGTGGCTTATATTGTTTTATTCATTTTTACTGAGAGCAAAATTTGATTGATTGATTATTCAGTGGTTGTTTAAACGTCCAGTGGCAAAAATTTCATGCATATTCAGGACGAAAAGTTGTTTCAGAAGTATATTATGAAGTATTTGGTATTACAAATGTTTAAATTTTCTCATTATTTGGTAACTTTCATTTTCTTAGCTATTTCTAATTAATTTGTACGAATCAGATTTTTCTGACAAATTATATATTTTGCTCTAAATTAACTCATACGATTCTGATAATATAAGGAACATTGTAACTTAAGTAAAAAAAAAAAGAGATTATGATTGTTTAATCAGTTGTGATGTAAGTTCGCTCGTGTCAGTCGGATCACTGATTTTCGGCAATATCAAGGAAAAACCGGCACGTTCCAAATATTGGTTAACTACTCATTTAATGGTGATTCTTTTTCTTTAAAAAATGGAATTTATGTAATAAAAATCTATCTATCTCTACCATAGTATGAAAACAGAGTACAAGTAACACGTCCTTTCTAGTCCTTAGTGGCATATTATAAGTCCTTAGCAGTGTTTAGACGTACAGGCAGAAAACAGTCGAAGGCCACCAATGGGTAGAAAATCCCGCACCGAAGGCGTTTTTCAGCTGGTCCCTAAACAAAAATGAATTTTAGTTCAGTGATAATGGACATCATACTAAATTTCGAAACATACAAATATTTCCTAAATTTCGGAACGTAAACATATGATAATTGATTAGTTAAGGTTACAAATTTAGGCAGATAAAAAGAAAGGGGGGGGGGGAGTCAATGCATTTGAATGGGGACTTATGGTTAAAACCACCCCTTTTATCCTGGGTTGAGAACCCTCTTTTTAAAAATGGCTGGAATCGCCACTCTTTAAAACGTAGCAATTTATAAATTATTTATATTAAGTAGAATAATAAAATCGATGAGTTTTATAATTTGACAACACTCATTGATATTGGAAATACTATACTACAATTAATTTATTTAATACATGGAGTGTTTAGTAAAACTGTCGAGTCGGACCAATCAACACAGAAAGCGAGATATCTAAAATTTGTATACCCTTATAGATTTTCATTATCATACATCAATTTTAAATGCAATTCCAAATAAAATGGCTTTGAGAACCGTGTATTATTACGCGCTTATCGTTCATTCGTCAATGAATCATTCACCGTGCGTGTATCGTGCGTGTATCGTGTGTTCATCATTCATCGTGCATCGTGCGTGTATCGTGCGTTCATCATTCATCATTCATTTTTCGTTAATCCTCCGTGTAACGCTCATCGCTCATCGTGCGTGTATCGTGTATCGTGCATTCACCGTGCGTGTATCGTGCATTCATCGTGCGTGTATCGTGCGTGCGTGTATCGTGCGTGTGGTCAGTTTGAATTTTAGAAGGTCTGTACCTCAATTGTCCATACACATACATCGTAACATTTACCTATCAAATATCTAGTATCCAACTTCCTGTTCCTGGTTGTTTTATATCTTTTGTCCAAATATCAATTCGCGTTTGCATAATATAGACATCTGTAGCTGATGGAAAGGCTTTTTCCTCTCTTCTAGATCTACAAAAAAAACTTACCTTTGCTTAGCGCAATGGTGCGTTCATCAACTTCATGTATTATATAAACATATTTGAACGTTTTATCTCATATACGAATATAGCTTACTAAAATATAAAATGCAAAAAAAAAACATATAACAGGAAATATTTTTTACAACTAGCTATAAATAAACAGGAAATATTTTTTACAACTAGCTATAAATAAATATATATATATATATATATATATATATATATATATATATATATATATATATATATATATATATATATGCAGACTGCAAAAATAGCATTTTAAAATATTTCTAGCTCTTTAATAATTTTAAATGACAATTAGGTTGTTTTTTATGATTGCAGAGGAATGCAGTTAAAGAAAAGGGTATCCTCTACTAAACAATTACTGCTTTTAGAAAAAATGTTGTACGATGTAATGTGTGCCACTTTGGTTGATTTCTGCCGAATGTAGTATGATCAATTGAGAATTAAAATTATTAACGCCATAAAGCAACTACAATGGTCAGTGTGTGTTGATTACCAGTTAACAGTTTGTATAAGCATAATTGTATCAATTTATTAAAGGCAATGCATTAATGTTTATCATTGATGTTCGGTAACAGTTGGCACATACTTTCCGAAGGACTTTTATATGAAGTTTAAAAGTTAGCGGCCGAGTTATACCTCAATTATATCCACAAAACATGTGTTATTATGATAATTCTAATCAAATTATTTGTCATTTCTTTCTGTCAATTTCAACGTTAAACCCAAGGATTCCATACACGTATATCTCAAGAATGTATCACAGTGACATCGACAGAGTGTTTTTACACGTTAAAGTAGTTTCGGTAAGATGGTCCATTTAAAATGTCATTTGAATTTAAATATATCCATTTCGTCATATTTATGAAATCATAATTCCTAAATCATTTTAATTTAATTGTCTATGTTGTATTTTGTATATTGTTGTTTGTCTTTTGGTCTCTTTTTTTTTACCATGACGTTGTCATTTCATTTTCGACTTATAAGTTTGAATGTCCTTTGGTATATCTCGCCTCTATTAACACATACATGAATGTGATTCAGTCTTTACCTTTTGTGTGTGTGTGTGTGTGTGTGTGGGGGGGGGGGGGGGGGGTTACACTGCAACACAGCTTTTGGACAACATTTGTATAAAACAACTCTTTATAAAAAAAAAATATATTGTTTTTCGTAAATGTTAGTCATATACATTTCTATTTGAGAAATTCAGTAATTTTGATAAAAGGAAATATCAGTGCGGTATAGGTGAATATATCAAATTGTTGTGAGTCGATGACGATAGAAATTGTAGGTCATTTCACAAAGTGAAATAAGGTATTTCACAGCCCGCAAATTTCAATTCTATTTGCTCTTCTTCCTATATATTTTTTTCATAATTTTTTTTTATTCAACCATAAGGTCATCTTCTCTACATTTTGCGGCCACGTTATAAACCTTTTTTCAATTACAGTATTACAAATATAAATAAGAGGAGAAAAATACCAAGGGAACATACAATCTCATAAGTGAAGTAAAACTGAAAACTGCCTTGCAAAAGAAACCCAGAAAGAAGACAGAAAAGACAAACAATTAACCAAAACACCACATAAAAATTCAAAGACTGAGCAACACGAACCCCATCGAAAACTTGGGTTGATAGGTATCATGATTACCAGACGTTATGTTATTAGAAACAACAACGCATATGTTTAGAACGTCTGAAGTTGTCATTGAAAATTATTAAAGGGCTGTAATTATGAAGCGTTTTTCTTGCAGTCTATCTATATATATATATATATATATATATATATACATTTAGTGCTAGTTGTAAAAATCATTTCCTGTTATATGATTTTTTTTTTCATTTAATATTTTTGTAAGATATCCACTATTCTTATATGAGAAAAATGTTCAAATATGTTTATGTAATACATGTAGTTGATAAACGCACCGTTACGGTAGTTCTTAGCAAAGGTAAGGTTTTTTGTGAATCTAAAAGAGAGGGAAAAGCCTTTCCATCAACATCTTATGGTGGGAGAAACACGCCAGGCAGAATCAATTTTCGTTTTTAAAAATTCTTTATGGAAAATGATATTGCTTACCGCATTTGTATTTATCTAACAAAATAAATCCCGACACATTTGTGTTAATACATGAAAGACAATTATTTTTTTCTTGTCTAGTTTAAATATACACCGTGCATCAACTATTATATTAGAAGTAAGAAATGCAACTACAATATAACCAACCATAAGCAATGTAATTCCATATTTCTAATCTTCATATACGTTTGTTTTTGAAAACAAAATATAAAAGAGGAGACAGCTACAACGCGTATTTATCAAACTAAGTTTATGTGCAAGTCAGAATGCTTACCCCTTTTATCACATGAACCCGGTAGCAGTGAAATGTCATCTACTGCGATATCACCGCTTTTGGTCGAACCTCGTACTCCTTCTAACGTCATTTGGTATGGCTCTGTTATTGGAATATCAACGTATGCCAATTGCCATATATCTGGTTTATTTCCTGACCTTGACCATAGTTTTTGTGTCATATTATCTGACACTACGTAAACATTTAACGTTCCCATTCCGTTTCCATGCATATTGAACCAGAAGGTAAAACAGGAATCACCATCCGGAGATACAGTCACACTTGTAAAATTTGATTTCTGCCCTGGCTGTATGTTTAAAGCGTCGAGGTATATGTAATGTCCATCATCTGTTGGACATACAAAATTAGTAAAAACATGTAAAAATAAAACCCGAAAAACGGCTACATATCTTCATTACATTTGTGTAACACCAGGGGCAAGACAAGGAGTTGAGGTTAGGAGGCGTGTCCTTAATTATGTCACCAGGGATTAAGGAGTAAATTAGCTGACGTTTTTAACAAGGAAACAATTCATTTTTTTCTAATTTTAGCGCCCACTACGCTACCGCATACACTAGCCTCTGAACACTGTATTATATCAACACCGACTACTTGTTTTGATTTTATTCCTTTAAAAAAACGTTAATATAAGTTGATATATTATATTTGATATTTTTATATACATAATTCGTCAACTTTGGGAAAAAGACCCCTAAAACATTATCATACATTAACTATCGAATTCTTGTGTATGCTTGTCATAAAAGGAAAATTCAAAGACATGTCCGTATTTTTTAGTATACCCCGTTTCATTTAATGTCCTGTGAAGCTTAAAGTGTAGATTCAAGTATAAGATAAATGTTGTACTTATATTGTTTTGATTATGAACACATTAGTTTTACACGTAGAAATAATAAATTCACTTCATCCTCCGTACACAGTGACAGTCATTATTTATTACTACAAAAATGGAAATCGAAGATACAAATGCCTTGTTTTTAAATTATAAAAATCTTATTTTTTGCAGAACTACACTGATTACAATAACAAATACAAATAAGATGAAAACTTAAAAATTCGGGATTTCGTTTTATCAAAAACATATTTGTTGAGTTAGTCAGTATTACTTGTTCTTGTGCATCTACTTGCTTTGAGCAGAAATTATGTAGAAGCACACAAATCTAATCGAGCTTATCTATTAACCCGTGGTATAAGAGCCAAGCAGTATTAGGAAGATACCATCTTAAAATAGGTACATTTGTAAGCGAGCCATTGTTCTCTGTTTCGACAAATGAACAGGAATAGCAATCAAACAACAAGTATATTTCAACTGATGAAATTCACAATCAACCAGGACTTCATGTCATCATTGATAGTAGGTGATATGCTACATATACAATTCTTGTTTTCAGTGTTTCATCAGCAATTGTTGCAATCGTGAGAATTCAGGAAAATGGGACAATTGAAAAAAAAAAAAAAAAAAAAAGACAGAACAGCTGTTATTTTTTTGTTATATATACTAATGGAGACAATCTATTCACAAAAATATCGGATACTGAAATCGTTAAGTCAGAAAAACTTGCATATAATTAAACAACTACATTTATTTTTAGATGACAGCACTGTGGTTCAATATCGGAATCTGCAATATTCCCATAAATACTATCATCAAAATCGGCTTAATCATGTATGTATAACACTGTGCTGGACTTCCAGAATTGGCAAATCTGACTTTCTTGTTTTACAAGATAACAAAAATATTTTTTGGACAAGTGATGGATAATTGATAAAAAAATTATTTTCCAATATGTCCAAACATGCCATTGTTGTCACTGTTGTCACTGTTGTCACTGTTGTCACTGTTGTCACTACAGTATTCAAATAACATTTCCCATGGGATATTTGAAAATTCCCATGGGAAAAAGTACTTTTGCCATTGGAAAAAGTACTTTTGCCATTGGAAAAATACTTTTGCCATGGGAATTTTAAATTCCCATCGGAACTACAATTTCCCATGGGAATATTAGTAAATAATGTGTTCTCATGGAAAATCCTAAATTTCTAAGAGAATTTTTATTCCCAGGGGAACTGATTTTTCTTCCCGTGGGAAAATCTTTTTCTAGTGGGAACATTTCTCCTTCCCATGGGAACATTTATTTTCCTTTATGAATTTTCGGAATTTGTAAAAGAGCTAGGAAATATCGTAACAAACTGACGTGTACAGATAACCGGGAGCAGTTTATAACATTTTCATTTGATAAAAAAGATATATGTACATGTAATTACACTAAATTAAAGGTTTTTCTATCATACTTTTAAATTCAAAAGTCTTTTATTGTCATTAAATGATTCATAGAAATACATTGATTGTATTGTATTGTCGTTTATTGGTTGGTTACTATTAAACGTCCAGCGCCAAGTATTACAAATCGATGACACTTAGATATGTTATGTCTTCCAGAAGACATTATTGTGAGTTCGAGCCAAATTAACCTATGTTCCATCTTTACTCAAAAATACTGTGTGCTGGTGGAAGAGAAGAAAATACGAATCTCGATTGAGCGTGTTGGGTTGTTGAACAAAAAACCTCCCGAACTCGGAGAAAGCAAGCAGCCAAGACTACCATTGCTAATTGTTAACTGTTAAGTATATTAGTCGCATTCATAAATCAATACATGTATGTTGCTGTTTTCCAAAACATAATTTGAATGTTGAACTTGAATTCTGATTTTAATAATTCAATCTTCCCCTTTTGCTTTCGATTATTATTATCCTGCATTTCATGTAATATTGTTCGCTGAACTGCCAACGATCAGAACCATGCCTGTGTATTTATGAATTTAATCTATAGATAGAAATTAATAAATCTGTTTGAATATATGTACATGGGAAATCATTTGTGTTTAATATAAAAATAAGGAGATGTTGTATGATTTCCAATGAGACAACTATCCACCAAAGTTTAAATAAAGTGGATGTAAGCAATTATAGGCAGCCGCACTACCTTCAACAATGAGAAAAACCAATACCGTAAAGTCGGCTATAAATGGCTCTGACATGAGAAATATGAAACAATTCAATAGAGAAAACTAACGGCCTAATTTATAATTTTTTTTAGCGAAAAACAGATATGACAGACGTGAACCAACGACAACCACTGAACTACAGGCTCCTGACTTGGGACAGGCACATACAGAAGGTCTTTTTCTAGCTATAATATTTGAATTGATGAAATTGACATAATTATTGCAATAACAGAACTATTCTTTTTCTTCTACGTAACTCGATATTCGTGTTTTTCGCCACTTTATTTAAAAAGATGTGCACTGATTCTTTTTAAAGTTTATTTCATTCATTCGGTCAAATTTCCTAATTCAATGTGTTACTCGTCAACAAAAAAATCATTTTGTGTTTCCTTTTCGCAAACACTTTTGAAAGTTGGGTTAGATTTGTCTTTTATGATCTTTCAGGTAAATATCAAAAAGAATCCAGAGTTTTGCATTTCCAAGTACGGATGTGAGGATTAAATACTTTATGGAAAGCTTATTTCCCTGGATGGTAGTATATTCACTTGTATTTTACCCTTAGGCTGTTTTCATGTAATTTACAGTTTAAAGGAGCATTGTCGTCTTTTGCAACTAGAGTAAAAAAGACTTTAATGATTTTTTTTTGGCGATTGCATGCAGGTAAAAGAACTACTGTAAATTCAGAAATTATTGCGATGTTTTTATTATTGCGAAAAATGCGACAGGGGTATAATCGCAATAATTTAAACTCGCACTTTGAAATTTTTTCATACGAGTTAAACACGATTTTTCTCAATATCGCAAAAATTAAAATCGCATTTCAGTCTAAAATGACAAAATCGCAATAATAAATGCACGCAATAATTTCTGAATTTACAGTATTTGATTTTTTAATTCAAAATATTTGCAAGTGATTTTTTGAACGAATATATAACAATTCGAACTTGTTTCAATGTGCAAATTTATTGAATCAGGTTTTTTTCTACACTATGTAGGTGGAACATTTATTATCTAGCTCTGCCGAAACTTTAAATATGGCGATCCCGTGCATTACGCGTCGATGTATAGAATTTATTATAAAAAATCGCAAAACTTGCATTACGGTCATGTTTTGTATTTCTAAGTTATATTAAGAGTCTATAAACTTTTTGAAATATTAAATATGCAACCAAATCTCTGTAATTTTATCCATGTTTGATTTATTTAATTTATGTTTCTGAAGGTAGTTGATTAGACATCAGTTTAATGTAGGCGTGGGTATCTGTAACTTTTCTCCTTTTAGCTGTCCTATTAGACAAACCTATGTGCGATGATGCGTGAATACTGGCAATGCCATTGTAATAGTTTATTTGACAATGTATAGCAAAATGATGTTTTTGCTAACATGGGCTTGTCATCAAATGGGGAACTACGAACTCATGACATATAATTTAATTCAACTTCAAAATGTATGTTCACTATTTAAGAGAAAATCTTTTTTGTTATCTATATTTTTTTTTTTTAAGATTTATAAAGCTATGCAGGTTTTTTATCGACACGTGGCAAACTTCTCGTATATGTCATTCATGACTAGTGTGTATTGTAAATATTAATGATCATGTTGATTAGAAATTATCAAATAGACAACGCTTATAAATATTAAGAGTAAAGAAGTTTTAAAAATGAAATATTATTATGAGACGTCAAAAGATACTGGTGTCACTTACCGTAACACGCTTACGCCGTTTTATTTTTTAGTAACGTTAAAAACAGATTTTCTGCAGGACATTAGTTTAACAAGAACGTCTCTTTCTTTTAATAAAGTAATTGTATAATATTTGAATTATGATGTTTTTTTTTACAGGCTTTTGGTATGATCTACATGTAATCATTGAGACTTCCTGAAGTGTCTAAACGTTATGATTCTGATTTTAAAAAAAATGTCAGTGTTTGCTTTAATTTTTGAACAGATAAAAGAATCAAAGCAGTAGGTATAATGGCCGTTCTATTTGTTACAAATATGCATTTAAGGCAAACTCGTAAGTAAACAAGAACCGACGGACATTCGAGGTTTCAACGATGGAGC